TGGAACTCACTTGGTAGCCCAGGCTGGCCTCGAACTCACAGAGATCCGCCTGGCTCTGCCTCCCGAGTGCTGGGATTAAAGGCGTGCGCCACCACCTCCAGGCAAATGCTGTTACTTTTAAACCTTCTTCTATTCTTTTCCATTTTATTTCTCCCTTCCTTTCTCTACACGTTTTCTCCATCTTTATTTCCCTAATTTCCCAGGTTCTTTTGATTCTTATTACTTGACAATATACCAAAACACAATGTTGATGTATATAAGCAATTATTTTACATATTAGTTTTAATGTGTTAGTAAACTATGTGTTATCTTACGTACAGGGAAATTGGTGCAAAAACTGTAGGGCAATCAAATTTGTCTCTTGAACAAGTTGATAAGATTATTTTAGTTTAGGAGCGTGTGTGTGTGTGTGTGTGTGTGTGTGTGTGTGTGTGTGTGTCTGTGTGTGTCTGTGTGTGTGTGTTTGCACATGTGATCTTTTCAACTTGAACAATAATGTGGAAATGGTTAGTTTGGGACCACAGATAAAGTGAGTAGCAAGTACAAGTATGTAAGATATTACATTACAGTGATCAATGCTTCCTTCTTAGTGCCATAATATTCTCACATTCATAAGCAGTTCCATTTTGTCCTTTGTATTCAAATGCATTTCTTCCCATGTCATCTTTAATGTCAGTATCCTGCATATTTTGTAAATGATAAGCCATTTTTTTCTCTAATATTGCTTGTTTCTAAAATATTAAAGAAAATATACTGATTAGTATTAATTTGTCATTTATAAATTCAAAACAAATATTTAAATAATCTAGTATAGTGGAAATAAACACTTATTCTTGTCTTGTGACTTTTAAATTTAGAGTATTTAAAGAGCTGTAAGGAGTCGATTTCTATTTCTGATCAAATACTTAGGTACAATTTACCTCACTGAATACTTTGGTAGAATTATTGAAGTTTTTGAAATGTAACTTTTTGTGAACCTCTTGTATACTACTGATCATGGACGTGGCAGAAGAGAGATAAATGTACAGAGAGAGTCCTAGACATTTTATTTAGCATTCTGTAAGAAAAAGGATTAGTACACATAGAGAAGCACCCAAGATAGCATAAAGGAACATCCTGAGGGGTAAGAGAGAACAGAGCTTTGCATTTCCATAAAGATGAAAATTATATGTATTTTCACAAGCCCCGATATAAAGGCTTCATGATTCATACTGGCTAGAATACTAAAATGACCCTTGCTTCAATAATAGGGAATAACTAGTTCAGATAACTGGTAACACTAGCCTCAGCTAATAAATCATAAAAAAAAAATCTGATTAATCAAATTGTTTCCAAAGTTATAAAAAGACTGAATACAAGAAGTCAATATATGGCATGAAGTTCAAGATACTAGGCCTATAAAGACACAGGGTCATGTGACCTATAAAAATATATCATTCAATTATAATTAACTGAGGAAAGACAGAGAAGTTAGACTTCAAGCCGAGAATATCAATGCACCCAGCATAGTTGCATTTTGTACGGATTCAATGATAGAACGTCTCTTAAAGGAATCACTGAAAGGGAAATGACTCAGATATAGAGACCATTTAATGTAGTTAAGGTCCTGGAAAGAGGAAAACATGGATGTGCATGTGCAGTTGATCTACACTGCAAACTTGTTGGGATTAAGAATAACCATGGGAAGCTGGGCGGTGGCGCATGCCTTTAATCCCAGCACTCGGGAGGCAGAGCCAGGCGGATCTCTGTGAGTTCGAGGCCAGCCTGGGCTACCAAGTGAGTCCTAAGAAAGGCACAAAGCTACACAGAGAAACCCTGTCTCGAAAAAACAAAACAAAACAAAACAAAACAAAAAAAGAATAACCATGGGTATATACCACATGGTGGATCTGTGAGATTGTTTACTGAAAAGAAAAGACACACCCAAAATGTGGGCAGTACTAATCCAGGGGCTGGAACCTCAGAATAAATTAATAAAATGAAGGAAGGTGAGCTGAGCACAAACAATTCCAGACTGTGGATGTAATAGGAACAGCTATCATTATCCTGCATTCTCTTTTTCCTAAAATGACAGATAGACTGGATCCTCTCAGACTAAAAGCCACATTTAACTCTCCCTTTCTTGAATTGTTTCTTGTCAGACATTTGACCACAGAGAGAAAAGTAATGAATAAGAGCTAGAACAGAAATATTTTAAAATTACTACCTAAAAAAATTCCAAAGTTGTTACAAATAGTGAACTCAGAGGTTCAGGAGAAACCCGAGCAAAATTACAAACAACTGGATGAGATCATGCTACACTGATACCATATCTAGACACTGACTCCACAAGATAAAACAAACAAAAAACACAAACAACAAAAACAAAAACAACAACAAAAAATCCATGCTAACATTTCTTCTGCAAAATTCTACACAAACTTTTGGCAATTTGTATCAAACTGCATGCCATATAAATTACAGTACAATCTGACCAAATGAATTGATTTAATGACCATGAATTCCAGATTTATTGAACATTTATTATTTGATTTATATTATACACTTCCTGAGAACCATAAATATAAATTCAACAAAATCATAAAAGAAAATATTCAACAACCTACCAACATTCCTTCCTGATAAAACTTTTGGCAATCTAGTAATAAAATATTCTAAAACTGTTGAAATGTATGTATGAAAGTCACAGAACCTCATAGCTAATTCTAGAAAAAGTAAAGTTTTACTTTTGAGATGTGTATCAATGAAAGTTGCTATGCCTACTACTATTTTATTATTAAAGCCTACTGTAATTAACTATTTTTTTGTATGTATGTGTGTGTGATATCTGTAGGTGTTTATGGAGCTATTGAAACATTGAATATCAGGTGATATGCAGATTATACTAAGTAAGACAAGCCTACTTATTCATAGGAACAGTGAATCTCAAACAGGACTAATATGCACTGTGAGAAGCAGAATGGAAAATAAAATGCAAACTTCAATTTATAATATTTTATAGGAAAATAAAATAGACACTTCAATTTCCAATATTTTATTAAGTTTAAGTATAACGATATATTGTAATACAAATCAAACTTTATAAATTTTATACCTAAATTTGTCAAGTATAATTTACTCAAAATTTAATTCTAGACCTACATTCATTAACATGAAAAATCATTTAGCGTTGTTTTTATTAAATGAAGAAGCAACCTACAAAATAATCTGTAAGATGTAAAAGTAAAACCAGGAGAGGGGCCTTGGGTGTTAAGAGCACCTGCAGTGAACTTGGATTCGGTTCCCAGTACCTACATGGTGGTACATCATGTAATTCAAGTTACAGGGGACCTGATTGCCTCTTTTGCCTCTGTACACATAATGTACAGTACATATATGCTGTTAAATACTCATCGACATAAGCTAAAAATGAATATATCTTTTTATAAAAAAATGTAAAAGAATGTGCTTGCTTTAGGAGTAAATAAATATTTATAAGAAGATTGTATGGTGTGTGTGTGTGTGTGTGTGTGTACTTAGCAGTTGGTAAACTCATAAAGGGATTCTATAAACTGCTGTTTCTCCTTATAAGGCTTTATATTCTAAATCACAAAGCACAACATATTATTAAACTTAAAGGGAGTAAAACTTTTTAAAAAATGAAGGAAAAACAAAGAATTTTTGCCAAAAACTTAGAGTTCTCTAAAAGAACATTTTTATAAGAGTAAGATTTTTATGGGAATTAAAGCTACTATTGTATTGTGAAGATAAATCCAAAATGGGTTACATCAAATAATGGAGCAGTGCTTTTTACATTATACAAATGCATTAGATAGGACATGTAAAAGTGTGCGTATCTGGGTATAGTGGCTATGGCAGTGGGTGCAAGGCCTGTCCATCTGCTCTCAGAAAGCTGAAGCCTGCAGGTCTCTTGGAGTCTGTCCAGGAGTTCATAAACAGGCCGTGCACTTAGCAACAGCCAGGTTTTTGTTTCTTGAACTTTTAACATTTAGTTTAGCAGAATACATGTTTTTTGAATAATTGTTCACTCTAATATTTACTCTGAAAAACCAAGCTTCTCTTCCACCATCCCAAGAAAGAACTTAGAGCTCCCACTACCTTTCTGTCACTCTCTTCTTGGCTTCTGCGCCTCTGTTCCTCCACCCTCTGCTCTTTCTTGGCATCTTCTCCAATCTTCGAGAGCAGCAGCATCTCCTTTGTCTTCCATTCCTAGAGACCAAAGAAGTACCATGCAGGTAAGAGTGTGTTTTGTTTTCACGAAAGATGCGTTTTGTTTCCACCACCAAGAAAAAACCAGCAAGTCGTGGGCCCAACAGTTACAGGCCAGATAAGTGCAAGTCATCGGTGCTTTTCGAATGGGTTTTTCTTAGGGCACGTGTATTAAGAAAGCAGCCATGAGGCTGGGAGGTGCTCCAGGGGTGAGGTGCCTGCTGTCAAGCCAGTTAACTTGAGAACTTTTGCCAGAAACCTCGTACGGGAGGAAAGAACTGACTCCCATAAGCTGTCCAGACTTCACTGCACTGTGTGATGTGCACACATGAATTAATAATTTTTAATTAAAATAAATTAGCTATGGTTAAATTTTACTAAAGATAACTTAAAAATTATTTCCCATGCACACACATTCAAGTTTAATGACACGTGAAGCCATGCTTTGTAACTTTTTTACAATGATCTTTAAAAACAAAATTGTTTCATTATGCAGTTATATCTGCTCCTACCATTAAAATTATTTACAAATGGAAAAACTACACATTTTTATTCCTCATAACATTTAATTCACCTCTTACCTCTTCGATTTTTCTACGAAGATTAAGTTTTTTTCTTGTGTATTCCCGCTGCCATCGCTCTTCTCTGTCCATGCGGAGCAGGCGCTGCTCTTCTGCTGTGCGGTCAAGCTGTTCTAATTCTCTATTGATCATATCCAGATATCTGAGTGAGAACGAACATTTGATTGCAGGTGAACTGTGAGCTTTATCATCATACTCTAAGTCAAGCCCTGCCTGGCTGGTCATGAGAATTTTCATAGGGGTTATGTATTTTGATGTTGTTTTATCAGTTCCATTCATCATTCAGATCAGACGTACTCATAATGTCTGCCTCGTTTTTAATTCTTCATTTTGCATGCATATTTGTTATCAAGGTCAAAGAAAGAATGGGATGGGGAACAAACTGATTCAGTGTTTTACACAGTGAGCAGTAAGTCAGTGGGTTCAGAATCTGGACTTACAAACACAACAGAAAACAAGCAAGGTTTCAAATGCATTCACTGAAAGAATGTTTTCAGAACAAAGTGAGCACTAGGCTCTTGGTAGCAACACAAACTCCCACTGAAGGCTGGGGACAGCAGTGTGTCTTATGGCACTGCTGGGAAACAAAAACTGCACAATATCAAATAATGTAACATAAAAGACTCACTCTTGGTAAAGCGAAGAGTGGAACACTGTTTTGCTTTCAGAAAGATAAATTTGTTAATGTAATGCTAATTAATGATTATGAATGAGAAATAGCTGAATAAATTTGCAGTTATTTCAGAATGTTTATATTTTCTTCAGATATACTTCAGAAAAACTTTGTTTTTATTTGGACTGATTTCTTCAAATTTAATGCTGTCAGTCTTTAAATGGTGATTATATAAAGTTGCTTTTCTTTTTAGCTGCTGCTAAAATAATTTCTCTTATAGAATGGCTCTGAGATCTGGTGCTTCCTCCAGCTCTCACTTCATTAGCTCTTGGGTTCCCAGAAAATTCAACTCCTGTGGAAGAAGTTTCCACTCACAACTGTAGGACCAAGATTCCTTATTTCTTTACCTCTTTGATTTCCCTTCCTTTCTCTTTCCACTCAGGAATGAAGGGGAATTAAACATTATTTACTACTTAAGAAAATGAAAGTCCTGCTTACAATGCTTTTTAATATAATTCATTTCACACACACACACACACATGCACACACACACACACACACACACACACACACACACACACACACACACATACACACATTATGCTATAACTTCAGGCTCACCTGTGTCTTAACCAACGCTCTTGGTCCTTGATAGACTGCGTGTTGCCCTGTAACAACCAGTTCTGCAAGCGTGTGACATCAGAACAGGGAGTAAACTGGCTGGTTTCTTGCAGTTTATGTAGTTGTTTTGTAATCGATTGCTGTATTTTTTTTAATAAAAGAATGCCAGAAATATATAATGTTTTTACATTTCCCCAAAATATAATCATTAAAATTCCTATATTTTATAAATGGTAAATTGTTTAACTGCATTTAATTCTATTTTGAATCCTTTTCAAATGTGGGAAAAAAAGAACTACAATAAGACTTCTCTCTAACAATAAGAGACAAATGTTTTAATTGTTCATCAATACTACATTTTCTGTCTGCCTATTTTTCTATTTATTTTTGGTTTTTATGACACAAGGTCTTACAACATATAACCCAGGCTAGCCTTGAACTCACAGTTCTCCTTTTTCAGCTTGTAGAGTGCTGGGATTTCAAGTGTGTACAGATCTTAGTCATTCTTATTTTTCTCTAACATTCTCACTTGGTAATATAAAATTGGGAGCACACAGTTGCCTCATTTTGAGCCTTCTAGACTCTTAAGAAAAATATGAATCCAGTTATATATACATCTCTCTCTCTCTCTCTCTCTCTCTCTCTCTCTCTCTCTCTCTCTCTCACACACACACACACACACACACACACACACACACAGAGAGAGAGAGAGAGAGAGAGAGAGAGAGAGAGAGAGAGAGAAGAAATGCATGCTATACACAACTTTGATTCAAGACTAAAAGAAACAAGCACAATCTAAGAATTCTATCTAATTTTTGTGAAATTTTGTGAATGAATACAGAGTATGTATATAGATACAAACACACAGTCTATTTATTTCTTCAGTGTTATGTAGGATATTACAAGTGTAACAAAGGAAATCAGCTGTTCCTAAGACTGTTTTGGTTTTTGTTTTGGAATTTTTCTAGTACTACAGACAGCTTCTAGTGCCAGCGAAGGTCTAAGTAGGTTATCTGACTTACTGAATTTTTGGTTTACTGAACTGTTTACTAAATTAACAGCTAAATATAAATAATAGTATTAAATATTAATGTACTGATGATATATTCTAATCCCTTTTCTTTTATTGGGCAAATGTTGCAATTTACAAATATTCATTTCTGCCAAAATTTCACATAGAATATCAGCAATTAAACTTCAAAATATAAGACAATATCACTCACACACACAGAAAAAAACTTTTATATTCTATTTAAACCAATAATTTTAAATGCACAGCTTACCTGTTCTCTTACATAATTTCTTTCAAAGTCTATTTTTAAGTTCGTAAGATATTGCCTGTATTTATTCAGTTCCCTCAAGTTACATACAATCTAAAAATTAAACAAAAAAATTAATAAATATTTAAAATATATAAAGACTGAAAATCATAACCATAGCTTATTAGAGGAAAAAAAGAACAATGACAATTTTAATGACAGTGTGAAGAGTGAAAACTTATTAATAATTTGATTGGTGATACCTCTACATTTTTAAGGAAGGAATTTTTATCTAGAAATAAAAGTTTCTTATTATATTATAATAAGGAATTAATTATTCATGTATAACTATAGTTATTAAAATAATAACTATAAGTAATTTTAATTAGAGTATGATTGTAAATACAATGTTCAAATGCAATAAGAATATCATCTCAGGCCGGGCGGTGGTGGCGCACGCCTTTAATCCCAGCACTCGGGAGGCAGAGCCAGGCGGATCTCTGTGAGTTCGAGGCCAGCCTGGGCTACCAAGTGAGTTCCAGGAAAGGCGCAAAGCTACACAGAGAAACCCTGTCTCGAAAAACCAAAAAAAAAAAAAAAAAAAAAAGAATATCATCTCAGGATGCTAACAAACTACAATTCCTACATTTTTATTTCAAGTTTTTAAATTATAAATCTTACAAGAAAACAGAACCATTACAGACAGAAAATAGAGAACTATGATTCAGCTGGAAACATTAATATACCTTTGCCTATTCAAAATAGTTGACAATATTTTTTATGTTAAACATAAAGGGTAATGTAAACATAAAGGAAATAATCACGTGTGGAAGCACTCATTTTTTGATCTCTGAGTATTCTATAAAACTGACCAAGAAGTATCCTATTACAATAATGTTAATAGTACCACTACAGAAAGACAGTTCCTGGAAAGACGCTGTACCTGCCAAGGCTGACCTACTAGGACTTCAGGGATGTGGTGAGGATGGAGTGTTGCAGATCAATAGCCTAAGTATAATTGATCCTAAAGTAGAGAGACATTCTTTACCCACCTGTATTGTAACTAACAGATTAAAAACTCCCTTTATTCTATTAACAAAACCCTGTTTTCTACTCATCAAAGGGCTAAGAATGCTGCTCACATAGCATCCAACACATATAGCTGAGACTTCTTTGCTTGGCTATAACCACTTCTCTGATGCTTCCACCAACATATTTTAAAGGTCTCTTGATTTACGATTTTGTTTAGTTTTATAAAATTTCATGATGTTACTTCCACATTAGATCATGGAATTTGGGGTAACCTAAGTCTGTGTTCCAGTGCAAAGGACACTCATTTTTGACTCTAGAAGAAATTATTTCTTATTCTTTTAGGAGAACAATGTTTTTGCATCAAGAGACTGGCTTCCCCTTAGGGTAGGGGAGCAAACACAAAATAGTATAAGTTTTTATTGATTAAGGAAAAAAAAGCAACCTTCAACTCACTTTGTTATTGCTGGTGATGTAGCCACCTTTCTTTAGCCTTCGCAGAATATCTTTGCGCTTATAGTATGTTCTTAAATGTGGATCGTGGAGACTTTTATATTGGTTTTCCAAAAGTCGACAGTAAGGATCACTCAAGTTAAAATCATATGAAGGTTGAAAAAGCTGCATACACAGATATTAAATATTACAAATATAAATGAATGTATTTAATTTAAACAGTCGGCCCCACTCAATCAGTTCTTTCCTTGATGTGTCACCTTATGAACATGAGAGAAGGGAAAGAGAAACAGAGAGAAGGGAAAGAATGGGAATAGTGTATGACTTGCTTTAAGAAATAAAGCCAGTGCTTGGACACGGTCTTTTCTTTCTCTCCTTATATCAAGAAACTATACACAAAAGGAAAAGGGATAATATTAATTATTCTGTTTTAATCATCTGAAAGTGAAGAAAAATAATGGAAAAATCTTTTACCAAGATTAAATGGAAATGATGCATGAAAACAGTGTAGAACTTAGTTGCTAAATACTAAGGATAAAGAATCATAGTGTCTTGGGACTTTTAACAAACCTGAAGCACTTTGAGTATTATAGTCATAAAGAAGATCAATGTCTATGTTACAAAATTCCACATATTGAAATTGTAAGGCATATTTACAGAAAATGTTTTTGTCCTATGTTAACAGCAAACACAACCTCACACAATAAAATGTTAACATATAAACATAATTTTACCATGTAAATATAAACATTATCATATAAATAGCATAATAAACATAACCATATAAAAGAATGAATGGAAAGATAGCCAACTAATGTTTGTGATTCCCTATTATATTTTTACTCTGAAGGAAACGCCTAAGTTATTTAATCTCATTTATTAACTAAAACATTATCAGAGTAAAGTTTTGGTGTGAGTTCTCAGTTACTTTTTCAAAGGGATACTAATAATAGCTTGTACAAGCACTTCTAAAGATGAAAAGATAACTGAAAGAAGAATTTGTAAAAATATGCTAATGTTGTCTTTGCATTCTTTCAGCTTTAATGCTTACTAATACAATGCCAAGTCAGAAAACAGGTGATATGTTGGAGTATGTGGGGGGAGCTGAAAAAGCAGAGGTCATGTGCCCTTGTTTGTAGGCTTTTTAATTCAATTTACACTACCACATAATATTGTGCACCAATCCAGAGGGTCCTGAAGGTACCAGTTTGTGATCTTTGTTCATTTTACAAGTTCAGTTCATTCCTTGAATCCTGGAGAATCAGGTGGAGTAGGGGGTCTAAAAAGAACTAGAAGGCAGAAGGCAAAAAGGAAAGCCTAAGGGAGCAAGATAGCAGAGTAGCTCTTCCTTTTCATAAAAAACATAACATTCTGTTAAGTCACTGAGGTCTTCATGCCACAAGTTTAATACATTTCAAAAGTTCTAATCAGAAAAGTGGACTGAATGACTACCAAAGCTTCCCAGAGAACACTAGTCTCCCTGTAGTTTAAAGTCTAATTTAGTGAGAATTGGACCAGATAAGAGGTACACATCATTAAGAGAAATATTGTCATGAAAAGAATTATCTCTCTTAGATGACATTTGACTGTCAACTCTTTTTAGATGTTGACTTTTAGCAATGACAAACACATTTTTCAATATTAATTAAAGTACCCAGTTAACAAAAATATAAAAGTCTTCTTCAGAATTATTTAGTCAAGAACTGGAGGAGGTTAGGGATGGGACAAAAATCAAAGTATTTAAGGGAAATAGACAGTATCATAGATTTTAATGCAAATGATGAGTATAATCATTCAACCTAAAGAAATGTAAATTTTAAGCAAAAATATATTGGTGATACTCTAGAATGACTCAGAGTAACAAATGAGGAAGAAAGGAGAGTAAGTTTGGAGACAAACTGAACAAAAATAATGAGTGATGGATGTTTGTTTGCATGGGCTTAAAACATATTGACTGGAAGAATTCATTCTGACGCTATGAAGGAAGGAAGAGAGCTAACCTGATCATGGGGTTTCATCATCATAGAAGCAGGACATTTTTCTATCTACAAGAATTATAATACTAAACATGAAAAATAATTTCAATTCTATTTTTAACTTACTGCATGAGATAGTGTTTGATTCAAAAGAAAAAAAAAATGTCTTCCATTGAGAGGTTAGCACCAGTTAGTACTAATTAAAATCCTAGTACTAATTAATAGCAAATAGTAATAACCTTTAAATCAAATGTTTCTAAGAAAAAAACCTAATACATAGGCATATTAGGGTTTATAATTAAATGTTAGTATGTTGCTATGTAATATAAATTAAAATAGGGCCGACGATCTAAATCCTTTTGATCATGATTCTATAAAGCCATGCTGGATGAAATTGCTTTATTCACAATCTAAACAATGCCTGTGGTACGATGTCTGACTGTTAGTACACGTTCTCCTAATATACTCTGTATTGTCTAACCGCAAGGAGAGTACAGCATTGTAATGTAAGACGATTCATGTAATTATAAAAAGTTGCCTTACCTTTTCACCAATATTCGTCGTAAAATAAACAGTATCTGTTCCTGGGATCACGGGCAGCTTGACTCCAAGAGGAAAATCTAGTAACTGAGCGGCTCCCACCCCTGGAATTCGGACTTTGTGTACCCCCTGTGAAATAGAATAAGATAATTTGTGTTTTCTTTCGGTAACAGTCTTTTGCTTTGGCCCATCTCTTCCCACAACAAGGGTAGAAATCCAACAATCAAAAGATAAGGTCTGAAGGGCTCACCCTCACAGTGTACCTCTCTTTAGCCAGCCTAGGACACCCTGCTATAGCCAGACCAGAGCTGGTGAGATGATTCCCGTTCCCAGGCCCGAGGCCCACAATGGCTGCTCCCAGGCCTGAGACCCAGGACGTCCACACTGGCCTGAGGCCACTCCACTTACATCTCCGCATTGCTGACTGCTCTCAGCCAGGCTGCCGGAGGCTGCTTTGTTGGCAGCCAGTTTGGCAGTCTTGTAGCAGGCGCTGAGGTACTGTTCCATGACTGCCTGAGCCTCACGTCCTCCCTTGACGCTTCCTGGCTTCCTTCACCGCGGTCCCTCAGTTCCGAATGACCAGTGCCAGCCCTCTGCGGCCCCACGAGCTTACGTTCTACGTGGAACTGTGGAGGCCACGCAGGAGATCGAGTGCCTCAAATCGGGAAATTCGGGCCCAGGGAAGCAGACTGTGACGACCTCGATCTAAAGTCTGGATCTCTTGGAAACCGTCACCCCTTAGGCAATCCAAACAAAGCAACGAAAAATGTAAAATTGTGCTGGGTGGGAGGCTGAGAGAACAGAGCCAAGAGGCAGCTAGTTTCTTCTTCACCAAAAAAACTACAAGCGCTTCCACATACAACTAGCGTCTAAGGCCTGGCTATGTATCCATCTTCTGCAAGGAAACATTGTAACCCAGCTCTCATAACTTCCTGTGTTTCTGTGTTTTTATTGACTTTGGTTGAGCAAAACACTGATATAAGAGATTAGCAGAATGTCATCAGTGGTCATTTTGTTGCTCCATTTCTTTAGCAGCAACAGTAGGATTTGGTTTTCCCTTAGGTCTATGGCTTATCTAGTTTCAGGTTCTTGGCCACCCAAGCAATGCTGGGGATGGGTTCCATCTCATGGAGTGGGCCTTAAGTCCAATCAGATGTTGTTTAGTCCCACAAGCTTTGTGCCGCTATTGCACTAGCACATCTTCCACGCAAGCCATCATTGTAGATTGAAGGGTTTCTTAGCTGGTTTGGCCTTAACTTTACCCATTGGTAGCATGCAGAGTACCTAGGGTAGTTTGAATGAAAATGGCCACTATGGGCCTATGGGCCTATAGGGAGTAGCACTATTAAGAGGTGTGGCCTTGTTGTAATAAGTATGGCTTTGTTGGAGGAAGTGAGTCACTGGGAGTGGGCTTTGAGGTCCTCAGTTGTTCAACTTAGTTCCATTGACTCACTTTCTTCCTGCAGCCTGCCAATCTGGATATAGACCCCTCAGCTACTTCTCCAGCACTGTATCTGCCTGTGTGCCACTATGCTTTCTTTCCACCCTGATGATAATGGAATAAATATCTGAATGTAAGCCAGCCTCAAATAAATGTTTCCTTATAATAGTTGCTGTGGTCATGGTGTCTCTTCACAACAATAAAAAAACTCTAACACAGTACCATGAACACTAGTCAGCAGGGATGTAGGTTTTAGATAGACACCAGCTCGACTTCTCCATATTCATTGAGTTATATAGATGCTGTCTTCAACACTAGGGCTTACCATCAGTTTTTGAAGAGCAACCAAGTGCCTTGGAAATAGCCTGAGTTATTTGGGAGTTTTCACTGGGTCCCTTTGGTCATCAACACAATTATTTGTAACCCATTCCTAGAACTGGTTTCTTCATTTGACAACAAGAGAACTCCATCTGGGGCTCTGACTCCCCATTATTCTAATAAGATCACCTTTATATATGTATGTTTTGTAGGAAGCTTCTATTGCACTAGGTTTCCATAGAATCCCTCAATTGGCCCTTAGTGTTTGCTGTACCCCCCCAACTCTCCCCTCCCCTTTATTTTCCCTCCCCTTCCCATTTGATCCTCACATTCCAGTCCTGCTCCAATCCATCTATAACTACCTATTTTATTTCCAATTCTTCGGGTGATCTCATCCTCCTCCTATTCACTTACTTTATACCTAAACTCTGTGGTTATATGGATTATAACTTGCTTATCAAATAAGGGGATATATAAATATTTGTATTCATTAATCTAGGTTAACTCACTGAAATGATTTTTTTCTAGCTCAATCCATTTACCTGAGAATTTCATGATTTCATTTTTGTTTGTTTGTTTGGTTGGTTGGGGTTTTTTTTGTTTGTTTATTTGTTTTGTTTTGTTTTGTTTTGTTTTGTTTTTCAGGACAGGGTTTCTCTGTGTAGCTTTGCACCTTTCCTGGAACTTACTTGATAGCCCAGGCTGGCCTCAAACTCACAGACATCTACCTGGCTCTGCCTGCTGAATGCTGGGATTGAAGGCATGTGCCACCACCGCCTGACATGATTTCATTTTTTAAACAGCTGACTTAATATTCAATTGTGTAAATGTAACACACTTTCTTTATCTGTTCATTCATTGACAGATGTCAAGGCTGTTTCCAGTTTCTGGCTATTATGACTAGAGCAGTAATAAACATGATTGCATAAGTTATCTCTGTAGTAAGATGTAGAGTATTTAGGATAAATGCCCAAACGTGGTATGGCTAGATCTTACGATAGATATATTCACATTTTCATGAGCAACTTCCACACTGATTTCCACAGTGGCTGTACAAGTTTGTACTCCAGCTGACAATGGATGAATGTTCTGCTTATGCTACATCCTTGCCATCATGAGCCACTATAGCTGAAGTTTTCCTGATCCTGCCTTGCCAACAGGCAGAACAAAGCTCTCCCGCTCGCATCCCCCAAGTAAACACACAGAGACTTATATTACTTAAACTGTTTGGCCTAATGGCTCAGGCTTCTTGCTATCTAGTTCTTCTATCTTAAATTAACCCATTTGTATTCATCTTTATCTTGCCACGTGGCTTGTGGCTTACCGATACTTCACATCCTGCTCTTCATTGTGGCAGCTGGCAGCGTCTCTCTCCCTTAGCCTTCTACTTCCCAGACTTCTCCTCTCTCTTTGTCCTGCCTATACTTCCTGCCTGGCTACAAGCCAATCAGCGTTTTATTTATCAATCGATCACCCACAGCAAGCCGCAATTTGTTTTATTGATCTTGGCTATTCTGAATGGTGTAAGATGAAATCTCAAAGTGCTTTTGATTTACATTTCCCTGATGACTAAAGGTGTTGACCATTTCTTTAAGTGCTCTATGCCACTTCTGTTTACTCTTTTGAGAATTCTGTTTAGATCTGTATGCCATATTTTTTATTAGATTCTTTGTTTTCTTGAGTTCAGTTTTTAAAAGTTCTTTATATATTTTATATATTAGCCTTTTATAGGATGTGCAGCTAATAAAAACATTTTCTCGTTCTGTAGCCTGTCTGTCTGTTTGACCTTTGCAATATAAAACCTTTTCAATTTCATAAGGTCTCATTAACTAATTGTCCTCAGTGCCTATGCTTAGAGTGTTCTGTTCAGAAAATCTTCTCCTGTGCCAGTGAGTTCAAGACTGCTCCCCACTTTCTCATCTATCAAGTTTAGTGTATCTGGTTTTATGTTGAGGTCTTTGATCCGTTTTGTTTTGTATAGTGCAATATGTTTGTATCTGTTTGTATCATGTTTCTTTTACATGCAGTCATTCAGTCCCTGTTATCTACTTCTGGCTTCTTTATAAAAAAAAATCAGGTGTCCATAGGTATGTGCATTTATGTCTGCATCTTTAATTGAATCTATTGATTAACATGTCTATTTCCTGTGCCTCTTCCATGCTGTTTTTATTACTTTATCTCTGTAGTATATTTTGAAGTTAGGGGTGGTGATATCTCTAGCAGTTATTTTATTATTTAGGATTAGTTTATTTATCCTGGGTTTTTTGTGTTTGTATATGAAGCTGAATATTATCCTTCCAGTTTTTTTTTTTTTAAAGAATGTGTTACACTTTCGATGCAGATTGCATTAAGTCTATAGATTGTTTTTGATAGGATAGGCATCTTTACCATGTTAATCCTATAGATCCATGGGGATGGGAAATCTTTCCATCTTGTAAATTTTCTTCAACCTCAAGTATTTTATTTGCTTGTTCAGAATTACCTCAGGATATATTTTTAGTCTTTTGTGAAAGGTATTGTTTTCTTAAATTCTTTCTCAGTACATTTGTCATTGGATATAGAAAAGATCCTGACTTTTGTTTATTGATTTTGTATCCTGCTATTTGCTGAAAGTGTTTATCAGTGTTAGGAGTTTTGCAGTGGAATCATTAGGGTCACTTATGTATATTGTCATATCATCTGCAAATAAGGATACTGTGACTTCTTCCTTTCCTATTCATATTCCCTTGGAAATTGAATAACCTTGTCTGTTTCTGATTTTAATGGAATTGCTTTAAGTTTCTCTTCATTTAGGTTGATGTTGGCTTTGGGCTTGCTGTAAATTTCTTTTATTATTTATGTTTAGATATGTCTCTTGTATCCCTTTTCTCTACTGGACTTTTTTTTATCAAAGACTCTCCCTATGTCTAATAAGATGATCATATGGATTTTATCTTTAAGTCTGTTTATATGGTAGATTTTACTTATCAATTTACATATGGTCAACTATCTCTGCATCTCTGGGATAAAGGCTACATGTTTATAGTAGGTGATATTTTTTTATTTTTAGGTGTTCTTGCATTCGGTTTGCAAGTATTTTAATGATTATTATTGCATCTCTGTTCATAAGGGAAATCGGTCTGTAATTCATTTTCTCTGTTGAGTCTTATTTGATTTAGGTATCAGGATAGTTGTAGCATTGTTAAACAGATTAGACAATGATCTCTCTGCATAAAATTTAATAAAAAAATCTAAGGAGAGGGCATCAAGCACAACTAAATAGTTCAAGACACCTCACCTAGCCATTATTTTGTGGAATAATTGCAAAAGCTGATTGACTGATTAAAACATCAGGGTTGTGAATAGGATGGAATGCTGCAAGTTCATAGCTAAATTATTTGGAACCATCTTTCTCCTCCTTAATAGCCACTCATTACCCACCTCTGAATGTGGTCCAAGCCCTTGATTTCAGAATTCACAAACAACCCCCCCCCAGCCTCATCTAACCAAATGGCTAAAAACGCCATCAAGTAGTGTCTGAGGCCTGTAGCTGAGATGTCCCTGCATTACTCTGTTACCTAATGTTTTCAACAACATATTAGGAAAGTGACTTGATTTATGACTTTCTTTGTTCTATTACTATCAGACTTCATGAAACTATTGTCATGTTAAACTATGGAACTTGGGCTAATTCATATCTGGGACGTGATCACTCATATTTGGCTCAGAATAAAATAACTCTAATTCCCTTTGAATGTTTCTTGCCTAGTTATCTTTGAAATAAAATGTTTTGTTTCTTCTCTGATCTTCTTATGCTCATTGCCTTTAATTTGACCTTTTATCCTATCAAATACTTCAAGTGCTGCATTAACTATTGGTAATGACAGC